TTAGAATATTCTATCAGCATCACAATTTGGTTTTAGAGAAGGAAAATCGACACAAGAAGTTATTAGGGCTATAACAACAAAAATTTACTGTGCAATTGATTCGAAGAAACCAGCAATAGGAGTTTTTCTAGACTTGGCAAAAGCCTTCGACACTGTCGATAACTCAGTTCTCCTGGTCTTGTCTTGGAAGATGTAGGTGTACGTGGTACAGCGCATAGTCTACTGACGTCAAACTTGACTGGCAGAACACAGCGAGTTGAAGTACGAAACCACATCAGTGAAGAAAAATCTATTACGTGTGGTGTACCTCAGGGCACGCTGTTGGGGCCAGTTCTCTTCATAATATATATGAACAATCTCTTCTTCACAAAAGGAGATTGTGAACTAATAAGTTTCGCAGATGATACTGTCATTATATACGAAGACGAAACCTGGCAAAAACTGAAGAAAAAAATTGAAAATAACTTTCCTCACATTATGAAATGGCTGAATCATAGAGTGCTTTCGATAAATCTAAAAAAAAACGTTTACCTACCTTTGTGCAGCTACAAAACAGCACATACGCACGGAGTCAACAACAGGAGCCAACCGCACATTTGTGATTCCAGTTAGAAGACCTAGAATTCCCAGGCTACATCTAACATGACCACGTAGGCAGATATAGCTACCTGCGTGACATCCGGAGTGTTATGTCCACTATTTGTTACATTTTTGATTTGTATCATACACACACACTGGAAATAGCTTTCACACGATTATTATGTTAGCCAATCTTCATTGTAAAAATAAATATTGCCTCTATTCAGTTTAATATTCTCATTTTTAATTTGGGGAGGTCTGACCTTCTACGGCACTGCAGACAATATACAGAAGAAATATCATTTCAGGAACTACTTGGACGCAGGAAATGGTCTGGATGATAACGAATAATCTGGACTTTGTTGGCGGCCAAGCAAATTTGGGACACAGGTCACCTTTTTTAGAGTAAGACTCCAACTATCCCTCAATATACCTTTACATTGAAGTTGTTTTCCAGGGTTTCAGCACTGTTCGACTATAGGGAGTTCAAAAAAGAAAACCAGGATTTTCAACCACCTCCATTTTTAGATGACTCTTTGGAGTTTGTTAAACACCAGAGTCTAAAAGGTCCCCTATGCCTCAAAACACATCTTCCTTGGGCGTTGTTACCCAAAGAAATTCAAGATAATACCAAAAGTCCGAAGGTAAGCAAAGTTTTGTTCCTTCTACTCCATCTTGATTTTATTCAGGTTGAAGCCTGGCTCCCTTCCCCTTTGAACTGATTTTTGTTCCTTCCCATCAGAAGTGAAGCAATCTTAGTATATATTTTTCAGATAATTTACGTAACCAGAAATCCCAAAGACACCTGCATTTCGTACTTCAATCATTCCAGATTGATGGAAGGATATAGAGGAAATTTTGAGGATTATTGTAGATTGTTCTTAGCAGGAAAATGTAAGTTATTTAAAGTATAATTCATAAATATGATGGAACTGGACCAATACTTCATGAAAATTCATTATAAAGTATTCAAAAAATAAACTTTAATGTGAGATTTCAAGTGGGAATTTCCCATTGAAATGTGTTTTCTGCATACGTTCAGTGTGATTCATTATTTTCATATTTCAAATAACACATCTTGAAATCCATTACAAATAATAATAAAAGACAATGTTGATAAGTTATCATTAACCCGAGATTGGACGAGGGACAGACATAAACAATAACATTAAAAAATGCAATAATATTTTTAGCATCTATAGTCTATTTCAAAAGAGTGTAGAGTAATAAAATCTCATTAAGTATTCAAAAGCGCTACAGGGTGATCCGTCAATAAATTCTGTCACTTCCCTTGTCGGCATTGCAAAATTATGTCGTTTCATAAAGAGCAGGTAGGTATCACCCTGTTTTAAGGGATTTGTCCATTGTTATCGACGGATAAATACTGAGCCAGAGGCGCGCTAGTGGGATGACTTTTTTGTTTCCCAAGATAAAATCTGCTCTAAAAGAGACCCGATTTGAGTCGATGGAAGCTGTAAAGCTGAAAACGGCAGAGCTCCTGAAAGCCCTCACCAAAGAAGACCAGCACTGCTTCGACCAATGCAGAAAACGTTTGGAAAGGTGTGTGGTGAGGGAAGGGGAGTATATTGAAGGGGAGAATTGACAGTGTTGGCAGTGTTGCATTTTGCAAAACTGTGATCATCTATTGTTAGATCTTTGAGAACGATTTATTTCTCGTTTATAATCTCTTGGTTAGAATATGGGTCAATTATATGGTCACCATTGAATGGGAATCACAGCACCACATTAGAAAGGGTTCAGAATGAATTTTTTAAGATTTTGTGCATATAAAACGAGCATCCATATAGAGAACCATAATTCTAACATTGTTGCAAATGCTTTCAACCTCAGTTCACTGACTAACAGAAGAGAAAATTCTGATATAATTATAAACAAATTAATTAATGGTCTTGTTATTTGCACTGAACTCCTCCATCTACATGTGCCTACTTAACTGTCAGGAATAGTGATCTCTTTCACATTCCTTTCCATACCACTAACTATGACATACGTTCTCCTATCGATCGCACGCTCAAAAGGATTAATGATGCTAAATCATCATGTTCTTCATTCTTTCTTGAACCTGTAACGCCATCAGAAATAATTGATGCAGTGATATCCTTGAATAATTCTTCTTGCTTAGATATTTACGGTATGAACAGTGCAATGATCAAGGGTATAATTGAAATAATTATAGATCCTCTAACATTTTCATTCAACAAGTGTATACAAAAAATGTGTTTTCCAAACGTGTATACAAAAAGGGTGTTTTCCAAACATGTTTGAATGTACAAAGGTATTGCCTCTTTTTAAAAAAGGAGATAGGTCTCTGGTTGGTAACTATAGACCAATATCAATCTTTCCCTCAACAAGAGAGTGTGTGTTCGGCGAGTCTTGGTCGTTACCTGCCGATATAAAGGAGATGGCTCTAGTGACCTGTCCACCTTCCTGGAAAGGACACTCACCCTCTCTATTCTACAGGTACAGGTACAATTGAAAATTAATAATTCCGAAGATTCTGCGAAAATTAACCTAAAAGTATGTATATTTCCCCATTTCCCCATTTTCACCTTAATTCACAGTTTTACTATACAATAATCTTTATTCAAGCTTCAGTTGAATTATGAGAAATTTTCAAGGACTTACAAGCTTTGAATGATTACTATACATTTTTTTCGAAAAATTCAGCCTCTCTAATAAATCCCATTTTCCAGTACCTTTCGCTCCATTCTGGAATCATGTCCTACCTTTCTGGGAGAGAAGAAACCAGCCAAACATTCTCTTCCTGAAGTACGAGGAAATGGTCAAAGATCTACCTGCAATCATAAGAAAAGTCGCGGAGTTCCTGGAAAAACCTCTGTCTGATGACCAGGTCGAGGTCCTCAGCAGTCATCTTAGTTTCGAAAGCATGAAAAAGAACCCGGCTGTCAATTACGAAATGGTGGTATCCCTAAACAGAAAGTACAACCTGATACACTGCGAAGGAAGTTTCATGAGATCGGGAAAAGTGGGGGATTACAAGGCTAAGATGTCGCCTGAGGTTATCTGCAAGTTTGATGAGTGGACAAAGGAGCATACGGAAGGATTGGATTTATTCGACTAGGACTCCAGACTTTTGTACTTCATTCATACTCAAATAAAGGCTATTTTTATTTTTGGTAATGGATCTTTCATGAAATTATTATAATTATTATTGTACTGTGACGTTACATGTAGTACGTTGAGAGATGATCCGAAAATTGATAATTTGGGTGGCCGTCTGTTGTACACAATTTTAGAGATCAGTTATCAGAGCGAGAGATTCATATTTATTTGAGAATATGAAAAAAGAAAAATTCTATGTGAACACTGAAGAAGATACTTTTCTTTACTCAGTTTGTATTTCAAACATTCGTCGTGGAATAAAAATCAGATATCATTCACATGAGTTCTACTTTAAATTAATGGTAACAAATTGCACTTACATGGAACACTGTCATCCTCACTGTATTTGTTTCGAAAGATTTTTTTTCTTTCGTGTAACTCAATGTTTATATGAAAGTAGCTCTTTCAGGAGGACTTTCTTTCAGTTTGGGTCTGAAAGTTACTTCTTTGCATGATCTACACATCCATGTACAGAGTTACTTATTTTCAAATTGATTACTTCCTTCCTTTCTTTGGAAGATTACCTCATCCTTTTTTTGTATCAAGATGGAGTAGTAGAAAGCCAAAAACTTTCTTCCCCAAAAAACAAGTCATCATTTACACAAATCTTGTGGTATTACTTTCGATAAGTAGTTTTCATGAAATCGTTAGATGGACAAAAATAAAAAGTAAACACACAATAAAAGAAAATTTTTTCATTTTCTCAAACATATATCGTTCTCTGTATTCGTTATCAGATAAAAGATACCCATATCTTTGGAAAAAAAAGGAAAGAATCAATATTTTTTCGATATCTTTGAAACAGTTTGAAAAAAACAGTATTATTTATCACGTTAGTCTACTAAAAATACCTACTCTTCTTTGATATACTCTATGAAATATTCAATATTTCCGGAAACAGTTGAAGAATTTATTAACCAATAAAATAAAATCCTTCAGAAATTTATAAAAATACAAGAGACACCATTTTTCATAACTTCAATTGTTGGGAATTTTCCCAATATGGAAAATTGGCAAAGGAACACGTTTATGAAAAATACTACCACTGTATTTTTTAAATCAATAGATACCGACAGTTTATTTTTTTATGTTAATATTGTCATCGATATCTTCACACATCTGCAAATATATACAAACTACAGAATTACTATTGAATTTATTACAACTATTTTACAAAATAAATAATCTATGAGTCGATTTATAGAAATGTTTGCTGTGATTTTGGAAACACATCTATAAAGCAAGTATGCCCTGGAAAAGGGAAAAATCTAATTTCTATAGTTCATTGTGAACGTATTCAGTTGTTACTCTCAGTTCTTCCAGATGGAAATCGTGACACTTTTCCGAGTACAATTTCTGAAAAAAAAATACACTGTTTTTAATTTGCACATATATTTACCTGTCAGTATTTATTGAACGATTATGACTATTTGCCATCTTCATCATCAATGAACAAATTAAACAGTGAATAATCATTCAAATAATCATCCAAAAGATGAATTCATGGCCGTTGAATGTTGGTCAAACGGAAACAGACTTTTCCAAGAGAATTAAAGAACATACAGGTATTTTTCATGTCATAGCATAGAAGTAGCGTGTAAAATATATCAAACTCACCTTGCAATTCGTTTCCTGTACAATATCCGTGTATAAGGTCCAAAATGGCGTTTCTGATTCAGCGCTCAAGAACCATCCAGCCATCATTCCGATATTTCACGCCGAACATTTTCGAACGCAGTAACGTCAATATCTCTACAAATATTTATTATTCTCTGCCGTATATCCAATATTGAAGCAGGTTCAGTTTCGTACACATTTTGCTTCAAATAGACTTGGACTAAAGAACAAGTCAGACAACTCCCAAGGTACAAAAAAAATGTGTTTGTCTTCAGGAAAATATTAAATGTTCCGCCATTTTGTAGTAGGTGAAGATATTGACTTCATATTCTAGGGTAGTGAAGCACTTGTCAGGAGCTTCTAAAAGATGTATCACAAGACCCCCCCTTTCCATTTAATTTTTTTCCCAGATGACGTCCAGTCGCCATCTTGGAAGTTTAATCTGTCAATTTCACTTCAAAATGAAGTATTCATGCATTAGTTTCATTATCCCAAATTTCAATTTTTTTAATTGACCTGTTCAAAAAATAAAGGGGGGGCATTGAAGAACCGCACTGTACAACCATTGTTTTTATGTCTTATGGAAACAGTGAAAAATTAACCTTACGTTCATTTCAAGTACACTTTCACAATAATATTTCTTATCTATTCAAGTTATATATAAATATCGAGGACTGTGTACTATCTGATACGTTTTTTGAATTTATAACGATAAGAATGGTATAAACAAAAACTTTCTTCGGGTTGTTATGCAGTGAAAATTAAAGACTCCCATTAAAGATATGGAATTCCGTTCTGGGGAGTATGTTCTGCAACTTACATCAATTATGTACTCGTGCTACTGAAAAACAGCGATACGTTATCTATTCCGAATGAAACAACAGGCCTTGTTGGCCTATATTCAGTACAATTAAAGTTTATTCCATTTCCACGTTAGAAACAGCTTGCTTGATAAACAAAAACTCATTAGTTCGATACTTCTCATTCCTCGCAACGATATCAATATCCCCCGGAGCACGAGGCAACAGTAGTTTCTCATCACTACCGTAAAAGTGCCGTTGGGATGATGAATCACTCGAGAGGCCGCGTTATGTCGATGTTTATTGGCTGGACACGCTGACAGCAAGCGCTTCAGGATCTCAGGAGCCAGGCTCTGCACCTGGTGTCAGGAGCCTCCAAACCCGTCACGCGACTTCAGTAGCTCAGGTGTTGAAGACATCACCCTGGGAAACTATGATAAACACCTCAGCTCCCCACTTCAATCCTCTCATTCTGAAGAAATCCGAGGCCTTCAAGTTTTTTCGAAAAACACTTTATGCATCAGCTTTTCCTTGAGTTAGCGCAGCGCAGACGTGATCTCTGCGGCATTGATGTCGTCTTTTTTGCTGAACGGGATCCAACTTGGTGACAGAGTTGTGATCACCTTCAGTTCAGTGTCGAAACCTGAACCAAGTTCATCAAACGGTCGGGCAGCTGCTTCGAAAACGAATGCTTCAATATCTGCCCTCTCATGGTCGCGGATCATGCAGAGATCAAAACTCCTTTTATTATGGAAAGTATAACCATCGAACGGACGATTTGGGATACAAGCTTCTATGGAGGTGCATGCTTCTCCGAGTCTTTACGATACAGCTCCTCCCGAGTCAATTCCACTACTCCAAAGGAGACGAGTACATTCGAAAAGGCTGGCATATTTGTATCAGCATCCTTGTTCTTCCTCCACAGGAGATTGTGCTGAGAATACCACTTGCGAGTGGCATTTATCCACCCCGACGTAAGTATATGTCTCTCCGGCATCCAGATGGTGCACATCCTCTCCATAATCACCGCGTCTTCCTCTTTTGAGATGGACCGTTGAATATTTGTCTATCCCCAACTTCATACCGAACGCAGGTGTGTACTCTTCCACCATCTTTGAGGATTGATGGATATCCTTTCCTCCAGAGCCTAACCATTCAAGATCATCCATATAAAATGACTTTATACTTCAGGCTTTCGGGGGTCCCACAGTTATACCTCCGCGTTTTTCTGAGCGCAACAGATAACGAGAACAGTGAGATGCAGGGGACTAAGGCCATATGTTCGGGTGAAGTCAGAGTGGTAACAGTTGGTCATGTCATCTCACTTTTTGGGTGTACAGCAGGGCTTCTGAGCAAATGCAAGATGAGCTCAAGCCATGGATCAAATGTCTTGCAGTAATTGATCGAGGTCATTGAGAAGTTACGCTCATACTGTATCGAGTCCTGCGTTACACATCTATCGATGAGCAGGTGATGGTGATAGTGAGATGCAGGAAAGAAGGAGACTTGAGGGATTGTCCTGAAATACTTCCCTTCCGCTGTTATGACTCGAGCTTGACCAGTTATTGTGTACAACATGCCTCCCTTACAAATGCATTTGACGAGTATTTGGGTTTGTGTAATTCCTCAATAATTCTCACCTTTCACATTGTGGGACTACTTTGGAGAATCGATATGCCCTATTGACCCTTGCCAAAGGTTCAATAATCTCCATGTTGATTGTATCTGCTAATTTGTCTGCTAATTCTTTGGAGTTGCTAGAGTCGCGGACCGATCCATAGTTTTCTGCCAGACGTAACAAGTCCTGCAACAAAAACATAAAGTTTCGATGAAAGTGTTAGACTTTCGAAATTGGTAGATGAAAAAACAGAAAAAGTTAAAATAGTTCCTAACACGATTGCAGAATCATCCCAGCTTCAACCAGATAAATTCTCTCGAGAAAAATATCTGGTCGAGGCAGGAATCGAACCCGCGGTCTTCCGATCGTGAGTCGGGCATGCTGCCACCGCGGCCAATTCCATGTCTGATTTAAATAATAATTTGACATACTTTAACGAAAAAACAATGTTGTGTTACAACATCAGTTGTAACACACAAAACGTATTTTAATTTCAGTTCAAAGTGTGTTAACTTCAAGTCTGATAAATGGATAGATTGATGGAAATACATAAAATAACAGTTTTACAAAAGAGATTGGTTATGGAGATCAAACCCGAACACAACAGGAAGTAGCTCGCCTATTTCATGAGAAATTTCCTAATTCACCACCCATATCTCATGGAACAATAAGCAAACTAGAGAAGCAGTGTCGCCAGCTTGGTCATGTGTGGCAGATGAAAAAATCAGCTGCCAAAGCAAAGAGTGATGAATTCAAATTCGATGTGATGCTTGAGTTTGAGGAAAACCCACATACATCGAGTAGACAGGCATCCACTACATACATCGATAGTAAACATATTAGAAGAAAATAAAATGCATCCCTATAAAATGATACCTACTCAGGAGCTCATGGATGAAGATTTTGATAGAAGAACTTATTTTTGTGAGCAAATGACGGACATGTTGGATAACAATATCATCCAATTAGAAGACGTTATGTTTCTTGATGAGTGTACTTTGTCTCTTAACGGTAATGCTTATCGTCAAAATTGCTGCTACTGGTCAACGGAAAATACTCACTGGATAAGAAAAGAACACAGAGGTTATACCCTCGAAAGGTTAATGTTTGGACAGGGATTGTAGGAAACTATATCACTGGTCCCTTCTTCATTGAGGGCAACTTGAATGGCGATTATTATTTGGCACCACTTGAAAATGATGTCATTCCAAGTTGAGCAAATTTATATCCTGATCCAGGAAACCCTCAAGGTCCAGTGAATACGATATGGTTTCAGCAGGATGGACCACCACCACATTACCAAGTTGATTTCTGGCAATACCTCGACACAACATTTCCCAATCGGTGTATAAGGAGGCGAGGATCGATTGAATGGCCAGCGCGATCACCTGATTTTTCATCATTAGATTTATTTTTATGGGGATATGTGAAGAGCAATGTGTACAAAAATATACCTTCAGATTTGAATGACTTAAAAGAACGAATAACGCTTGTGATTAGGTCGGACATGCCTGATATGTTAAATAAGGTTAGAAGACAGTTTCATTTGAGATTGGGATGTTGCCAAGACGTTCGCAGTGAACATTTTGAACTTTTACTTCGTTAACATCCATAGCTATTTTTCGTATTCTACATTTCATTTAGTTTTGCATTACATTTTAGTCTTTGGGTGTATTTTATCGAATTTCGGTAACCACACGATTTTAATTTATTCTATCTCCATTGTTGCAATAAACAATAAAACGTTTTGAATAGAGAATCGGATCCTTCCGTTGACCAATGCCGGCTGCTGATGCTGATGAAGGAACTTCATCTGATATTAAAACGGAGAAAACTTTTGAAACAATCTATATTTTTGTCAATTGTGAGAAAAGGTTCCAAAGTCCCAAAACGCGATTTTAGCCAATATCTTCGGGTACGTAAATCACAAAACTCATCAACTTGTATAACAAGGTAGTTTAAAAATACGTTAGTAGTTGTTTCAATTTGTAATACAGTGTGAATTGCGTGGCAACAAAACCTGCTTGGATTCCTTATTTTATTAAAGAACCGTTAAAAACTCATCCGTTTTCTTATTACTGTCATCAGTATGTATGTAATGTAATTATACATGGTACGATGTAGTTGATAGTCTGTGAGCCTGACCACATGATACAGGATAGAAAACTAATCCAAGAATATAATGATAGCTATTCGCTTAGCACAAAAACTAATCTGTCAATTGTGAGAAAGGGTTCCAAAGTCCCAGAACGCGATTTCTGCCAATATCTTCCGTAAATCACAAAACTCATCAACTTGTATAACGAGATAGTTTAAAAATACGGTAGTAGTTGTTTCAATTTGTAATACAGTGTGAATTGCGTGGCAACAAAACCTGCTTGGATTCCTTATTTCATTAAAGAACCGTTAAAGACTCATCCGTTTTCTTATTACTGTCATCAGTATGTATGTAATGTAATTATACTTGGTACAATAAGTTGATAGTCTGTGAGCCTGACTTACTGATACAGGATAGTAAATTAATCAAAGAATATAATGATAGCTATTCGCTTAGCACAAAAACTAATCCTATCATGCTTGAAAATTGCAATAGTCAATTGCAGAATAATGCTCTATTTTTCTAAGCCGACATAAAAACTTTAGTGTGTGTGAATGAAGACTTCAATTGCATTAATCAAAAAATCCGCTCCAAAAACTACATGTCGGGTTGGTTTGGATCTTATTTAACCAATCTACTACTACGTTTCTGTTAAATATAAATAATGATGCCGATATCAAAGGTAAATATACATCGTTTGCTGATGATACAACTTGAAGGATATCATATCTGATTTGCTAAAATTCAGTGCACTTCAAATTTTTTCTGCCTCAATACAACAGACCAACATCTGTGTCAGTATCTGTAGAGTAGGGAGGGTGAGTGTAGGCCGACAGCACTAAGGTCACATGTGACCCATTGTACATCCTCCCGAAGAGTTGTCCTCCTAGGTCATCGTCCATCCAGTCCTTTCCAGGTAGGTGGACAGGTCACTGGCAGACATCTCCTTTATATCGGCAGGTGTAGGCCAAGACTCGCCGAACACACACTCTCTTATTGACGATAACTCCGGGCACTCGCACAGGACATGCCTGACAGTTTCATCTTCCTGTTCACACATCCTGCATGGAGGTGTGTTCACTAGCCCCATATTATGGAGGTGTTTTCTTAGTTGACTGTGGCCAGTCAGAAATCCTTCTGTCAAGCGTAGGTTTTTCCTGGTCATCGCCAGATATTTCTTCGGCGCCAGCTTCCCGGGGTCGTCCAGGGTGATCCTGGCAAGATTGCTTCTTTTGATTTCATCACATCTCTTCAGGAATTGAGCATGGATGTAACGTTTGGCTAGTTCCGCCATTGTCGAAGTCATCAGGCCGTAGTGCCACTGGCTCCTGAAATTCTTAGTCCAGCCACTTTCTTGGCTAAAGAGTCAACAATGCGATTACCTTTACTCCTGTCGTATCCTTTGATCCACATCAAGATAATATTATAATCCACCGAGGCTTTGGCTAAATCTTGGTGGCACTCTATTACTAGCCCTGAGGTAACACGTGGTCTGTTCAAGGCTAATAGGGCTTGTCTGCTATCAGTGCAGATTGTTATGCTTTTGCTAGATATTCCTTTCCTGGTTATTTTTTTTTGTGGCGATCGAGATACCAGCCAGTTCTGTTTAAACCACGCTGGCATTTTTTCCATTCCCCACTTAATCTTTAGGCTTAGTGATCTGGGGTACACTCCATATCCTGAGCCTTTTTTAGTTTTTGAGCAGTGTGTATATATAAACACACTGCGGAGTCAGATGTTNGTATTCAATTTCTTCCTTATGATTTCAGTTGTAGGAATCTCATTGCTTTTGTAACAGTCGTTTGTTTATTGGTTTTTTCAATAATTTCTTATATAATCAGAAATTATTATTGAATAGTTAGCTCCCTAAATATATTATTAAAAGGGGGGTGTCGGAAGGTAGGTTGCACTATATCGTTTACTTGAACTGTACCTGCACATTGTACATTAGTATATGAGACATAATCATATCACAATGCAAACAAATTGTATAATGAACTAACACTGAAAATTGAAAAAATTCCTGACAAACTCAAATTTAAAGCTGTCGCGAAAAAACTTCTGGTGGATAAATATTATTATGATATTCTTGGATGCTTAATTATTCCAGTGTAATCTCCTCCTGAGGTTTTCACAAGGATTTCCTGTAAATGTTTCATTCAATCTGTTGAACCTGTTCAAACTCCATATGTGACTTGTATACAATCTATTTCATTATATTACTCATTAATTGTATTTTTATTTACCTACAACTATATTATGACGTGTAATATGTACTATCCGTACCTGAAATGGTTAATAAATTCTATTCTAAACAAAGATGGTCAAGCCCACGGACTAAAACATTGGTGACTCACCTGGATATAAGCAACAGCGGGTTCAACGTACTCCTTGGAGTCGATGTCGACTTCGAAGTACTTTTTGGCAACGTGATTCGAGAAGGCGGTGATGGTTTGAACTGGCCTTGCAGGGTCAAACATGGCTGCTTTGGGGAAGCCCTGCATCTTCAAGTAGCTGTTCAAGAATAATTGACCGCTGGAGAAATATCTGGAAGTCGAGAAGTTAGTGAATAAAAACTGTATTGAGAGATTTGAATTATACAGGGGCCGGTAGAAAGTGACTATAATGTGGGGATTTATTTTTTCATGAGTTGACATAAGCTTTCTTGTATTTTTAGATTCTGTAGAAAACAACAACGGTGATCATTGTATCAACTTATTTCAAAAGTTTTGCCCGTTTTGAAGTCATGTCTTTTGTAGCTCTCAATAAATAATGCTGGCATCTTTTTGGCACTGTTTTCGATAGATCACGCGTGAATCGTGTCTTGTGTCATTGTCAAACTCGTTCAGTTTGGTCTATAATTAAACCATGAATCGACTTACGAATGAACAACGCTTGCAAATTATTGAATTTCATTATCAAAATTCATGCTCGGTGAAGAAAGTGCATCTTGCATTTCTTCCAATTTATGGGCAGTTTCGTCGGCCTACTGAGGAAGCTATTCAAAAGCTTGTGACTAAATTTTGAACCCAGTTTACATCATTGGACATTAAACCACTAACACGCATACGTAGAGCGAGAACCGAAGAAAATATTGCGGCTGTATCCGCCAGTGCTCGTGATGACCGTGAAATGTCGATTCGTCGCCGTTCGCAGCAACTGGGCCTCTGTTACTCTACTACGTGGAAAATTTTGCGAACATTAAATTATATTGATCGTTCTATTGATTCCAATAAAGGTTTCATTAATTTTTTCAAATTTTTTGTGTTGTTTCGAAAATCAAATCCTATATTTCTTAAAACATTGTTCATTATTGTGATTTGAGGCTACAGAAACACATGACATCAAAACAGCCATAACTTTTGAAACAATCCAATACCTTTATATCAAATAAATCGTTTCAGTTTCCTGAAATGGTGTCTGTGGTTTATCGTTCAGTCTTAGTTACAGAACATCATATCTGATTCATTCGCAACAATTTCAAAATCAAGCTGCAATTTTCAGAGGATATTTATCTATCAAATTAGCACTTTCAATAGAAGGTCCAAAAAGCAAATACGGAACCAGATAATGTTTATCATTATCACCATTATGGAGTCAACGACATGCAAGAGAGGTTTTGATACTTGAACTCTTTCTCAGTAATGCAATCTTGATTTGACAGTGTAATTTTCAGAAAACGTTTTGTAACATACAGAAAATGAAAAGTAGGACAATGGGTCGTCAACTTATTCTTTTTGTAATCTATTTCATGGAATTCTCTAATGACAGTCGCTAATATTTTCAGCTAATCGTTCCATTTACATATTTCTGATACCACATTTTTCAACAATTTTCAATGACAAAAACGATAATAATATTTTTCGAAGATATCAAGAAATTATGTATTTTTTGAGGTTGAATTCATTTGTAGCATTTTTACGAAGAAACTAGTTTTGTTTTTTTGTCTGATTCCACGTCCTACAGTTTGGGAAAATCAAAGACTTTATGGAGATATAGAAATGATAACTCTAAATGATAACTCTAAAATGCAATATATTGAAAAAAAAGTTCCATTCGACAGTAACTTGTATTACATTTCATATCAATGTATGAGACACAATTCCGTTTCAATCTGTCACAATAGAGAACTTTCTAGAAATGTAAAAAAGGACGACTTTTAGTATATCCCAATGAATCTATCAATCTATGAATAAAATATTTTATCGTTTCAGAAACAAAAATCTGTTTCTATCTGTGAAATTTGGTGATAGGTTGTTTTCCCGTTGATAACTGATTCGTCGAAATGCTTTTTGATTGTACGCAGTATATTAAAGAAATGCGAATACTCGTATTACTCTGCTGTTTCATCATTTTCCAAACAGAGGCGACACACATTGTCTTCCGACAGTCCGAATCTTTTCATATGATGATTCAAATGACAGTGACCTGTAAGAAGGACTGTTAGACATCGTAGTTCATCCCTACTCTAGTCCAACAACTGTTTGGTATCAAGGTTCGAACGGTGAATAAACGCCTTGGAGTGAGTCAATCCGGGAAGATTCTGCCAGAAGTTCATGAATCTTCTTGTCATCCAGGTGTTCAATCTTTGTTTGGCAAAGCCTAAAGTGATACCAATGACAGGAGTGAGCCAATCCTGGATGATCCTACCAGAAGTCCATAAATCTTCTTGTCACCCAGGTGTTCAATCTTTGTTTATTGTTCTTAACATTTATCCAAGATTCATTGATTCGACGAGTGGTTTCAAACGCCAGTAATGGCATCTTCTAATTCTTTACCAAGAACTATACAAAAAAGAACAAGCAAATTTCATGGTGGTAGTGGACGGACGTGTCGATAAAGGCTTCTTTTTATGTTGTAATTGGCCATTGTGCAAAGTTGACAATATGTGTAAATTTAGACAAAATATGAAATGAGTGCACCCTTTATTCACGCCGGTTTCCAGGCCGGAGTGGTTTGTATAACCACGTGATGGGGGCACGCATGTCTCTAAGTAACTTACAAACTATTTGTGGGTTATTCCCTCGATTCCATACATTTCAAGCTTCATTAGGAGAATTTTGTGATCTACCAGATCAAATGCCTTGCTTAAGTCTATGACAATAGTGATAAATTTAATGAGCTACAGAAAGTTATATTTGCAAGTCTATATTTTCGTACCAGTGATTTATTTTTGTTGCTGAAATACAATAGATCATCAAAATGAAATTTTATGATGAAACTAAAACTTCGTTATTGTTGTGATTTCAAAGTACCTATTCGTGGATATTGTTTATGTGTTTTTGATGACCCATGAAAATTGTCATTACTTCAAGGTAGGTAAATGGGGAGAGAACCATTGTTTAAAATACTATTAAGATAAGGACAGTAATGTTTAGATGGAACTATCCAACGACATACCGGATGACAAGTATCAAAGTTACATTGGATGAGAGATTACCGAGAAAAAGTAGCCTGAAATCATACATTTCAAAACTAAAGAAATCGGTATGACCTAGATAAATTATTTTAAATTTGAAATCGATAATATTCACAGTGACAACAACTATTTCCTCATGGAATTCCTCAAAGATCTCTCTTGAGTCCGATATTATTTAATGTTCACCCATTATGTTTTGTATGTAAATTTAAGGAAAAAATCAGTCTTTTGTGCAGATGATACTGTGATTTTATATCACCCTAGGAGTATAGAAACAAATTTCAAAATTATCATGAACTGGTTATCAGTAATTCAATGACAATAAATTTTAAAAACCAAGTATCTGATTTTTCAGTTCGCCATCAAAGATCTCCATCATCAGGTCTTCTTAGATTAAGTGAGAGTATCGGAAACCTAATGGATGTATTAGACACTTGGACTCTTGATTGAGACACTTGGACTCTTGAATCAATCAGGCTGAAATGCAAAATTTTCTGATAATTAGATTTGGGGAAAATATCTCAGAAAATTGGGTGCAGAATTGGCAGAACAATACAGTTTTGTGAATTAATGTCTGAACATTTGATTGTAAACAGTGTATGCACTTTTTTCAAACAGAAATGTCAAACTTCTCAGAAAATTAATCTCTGGGCAGAAATATTGGGAAACCATATTGTTGGTCCCATGTATCTAGAAGAAAATCTGACAGGTGAAGATTCTCGAAACCTTCTTTTTCAAAATCTCAATAACCCATGGATTCAAGAAACTTTAGGCAACAATCAAGAAGAAATAGAAAATCCAGTAGGGCCACAACAAGGTAGTGCGCCATCATATTAAGGGATTGATTGGATCACAAACTCATGGTAGGCGCGGTTCGTTGGAATGGACTTCTCGTTCACAGGATTTGACTCTTCTCGATTTTTTCCTTTGGGGCTCTAATGAATCGAAGGTTTATGTTACGCAACCTGGGACAATACGGAAACTTAGAAGAGAATACTGATAATGGTGTTAACATCACCTCAAAAACATTTCAAAATGTTAGAAACGATATCGAAAATAGACTGTTTCACTGTGAGGTGGTTCAAGGTTTGTACAAATGTACAAATGTTTTGTCAAGTATAAAATAAATGATAACGAGGTTAAAATAAAATGCTCTCGTTTTATGCCCTAGAAATTAACACCTATTTATTGCAAATTTATTTCTCTTTTCGATGAATATTTATTCAGCGACTCAGCGAATGAATACATTACATCACCGCGAATGCGGTGATGTAAAACTTTAGTCGAGTAGCGAACCGACTACAGATTTCTAGAAAGGACCGTTACTTTATATAAGGCCGGCTTCCCGACCCAAGAGGGCAGTTCAGAAAGTACTCGAATTTAAGCGTTAGTTGCTAAGTGTTGTAATGAATAAATTAGTCTGTGATTAGTGAAATATTGTTGGAAATAAATTTGCCCATCCTGTTCAACCAGGAAGCCTTTACCGTCGCTGACGTTCTGGCAAAAGAAAGGATATGTCGATTCGCTGCCCCATGGAGTTGCATTCGGACCAGGGCAGAAATTTCGAGTCCATCCTGTTCCAAGATATGTGTAAACTGTTGGACATTCGAAAGACCAGAACCACAGCCTTACATCCACAGTCCGATGGAATGGTGGAACGAATGAATAAGACCATAAACCGCCACTTGTCCAAGATAGTCTCTGACCATCAAGGAGTAGTACCTCCACCTGTTCCTGTTGGCCTATCGTTCGGCAGAGCACGAGTCAACCGGCCAAACCTCTGCCAGTATTATAATGAGCCGAGAGCTGCGGCTTCCTTGCAATCTGAAATTTGGGACGCCGCCAGAAAAAGACACTGCGGGGGAAGACTATGTCAGCAAGCTTCGGCAGAGAGGACGATATTCATGAACGAGTCAGTCTGAACATCCGAAGTGCTAGCGATAGGATGAAGAAGGCCAATGACATCAAGGTGAATGCTGGAGGATTCGAAACCGGTGACCTAGTTTGGCTGTACAACCCTAAGCGCCGCCGTGGTTTATCACCTAAGTTGCGGAACTCGTGGGAAGGTCCGTACATAATCATGAAGAAGATAAATGACCTCGTCTACCGAATCCATAAGCCACCTCGAGGAAAGCCTAGGGTCGACCATTTGATTGGCTCCTTACGCTGGAAATCACGACCAAGTTCGCGCCCTCAGACCACCAGAGGATGAAATGACGTTCCAGAAATTCATGTCTTTATACTCGAACGGACAGAGGGTCGTACATGGGCTAACTCAAGAAGAGCCACGAGTCCTTTCCAAGGTTCCAGTTGATAACGCACTAGCTCACTGCGTGGCAGAGGATACCCAAATGTTCAGGGGCATCGCGTTGGTATTCAACAAGAAATTCGGTCAGCTCCAAACATTACGAGAACAGAATCCAGATGTCGGAGGAGTGATACAGTTGAAGAAGGGTCAGAGAAACATTTTCTACTTGGTGACCAAAAAGCATTCTCGAGACAAACCGTCCTTTGAAGATGTTTGGAGGAGTCTCATCAGACTGAGGGACACTATGCTGGACCAGAATCCTGTGGACTTGGAAATCCCGAAATTAACCTCTGGGCTCGACAGGCTGGATTGGAGAATTGTAAAAAGCATGTTGGAAATGGAGAGTCCTGCAGGTATCGACACACGCCAAGGATGACATTTCGGGGCGAAACGTCTTTAAAAAGGGGGCAATGTAACGAATCTGAAGCCGGCCCTGGCCGATATGCCGGCCGACTCAGCGAATAAACACATGACATTACCGCGAAAGAATGCAACCGCCGGTAAAACTCTAGCCGAGTATCGAACTTACTACAGCTTTCTAGAAAGAACCGTTACATTATATAAGCCCGCCTTCCCGACCCAAGAGGGCAGTTCAGAAAGTGAATTGAGCGGCTAAACAAGTAATTCCAATAGTGGAAATGAATTAGGCGTTAGTTGCTGAGTGTGGTAATAAATAAATTAGTCTGTGATCAGTGAAATATTGTTGGAAATAAATTTGTCTGACCTGGCCAACCAGGAAGCCTTCACCGTCGCTGACGTCCTGGTAAAGGAAAGGATATGTCGATTCAGTGTCCCAGTGTTGTAAAAAATGAATTAGTCTGCGATTAGTGAAATATTGTTGGAAAGAAAATTGTTTGAGACAGTTAATTCTTTGATTTGTTACAATATGAAATGTTACAAGACCTCCTTTCCCTTCAAAAAAAAAGTTGACAGCACTCTCTTGGCGACAAGTGGTGTCAGATATTTGGCTCTTTCATCAAATATTACTTTTGATACCTTGGCCGCACTGTGTAATATATGATATATGGAATTCATTGAATATTCTTTTGTTCTGGTGTGAAAAAAGTGTTTATAATCAGATGCCAGAGTGTACTCACGCTTTATAAACCTTGGGATCAGAAGCGTAATGCAGAAACTCCGCCACCCTGTCCGTGATCATCCGAATCCAGTGCCTTCTGAACGAATGATTCTCCATCATCTCCCCGAACTTCTGGTAGCTGAACTTCCCCTCCTCGTCCGTGAAAACCTTGAAGGTCTTCTCTGCCCCAAGGGCACTAATCACGTACTTCCCCATCTCCGAGTGGATGAACAGATCGAACATGATGTGCGCCTTTTCTAGAAGAGGAGGCAGAGCCCAAGAGTGCTCTTCGTGGCGTTTCGCCCTCTTGTGAGCCTCTGGCCCTGAAAAGGCGCTGATGGTCTGCATGATCAGCGGTAGATAGTCCAAGAAGTTCCCTTCTCCCGACTTGCCTGTCCCTTTGCCCAGGAAATTGCTCGCCATCGACACCAAGCTGCCTAAATCGAACTCCGGGGCGGATTTGCCTTTGCTCTTCTGGCCGGATTTCTTGGAGGCCTTCGCCTTTTTGGGTTTGTCCTGCGTCTGGGCGAACATGTTCACCAGAGATCCTATCATGGCAGGGTCTATTCCTCCTTGGCCTTCCTGGCCGCCTAATAGGGAGCCTAAGCCTTGGAGTAGGGCTCCCCCGCCATCTGCTCCTCTTCCTCCTGCTGCTCCTTGGAAGGCTCCCATTAGGGCGCCCAGGCCTTGGAGCAGGTTTGCAGCGTTGTCTTCTGGAAAGAACAAGCTTATGTTACGAAGCCTGGTGACTACTGAATCATCAAACTGAAAATATTTCTGTGGAGGAAGTCAAAGATTTTTATGGACCTTTCTAAGGGTGGTCAATTTCGATAACCTGAACAAAATGAAAATTTTAATGGAGAACTTTCGATGAAGATGTAAAAAGAGCAAATATCCAACTAACCCCTAAAATTACTGTGTATATTCGAAATAGTTTTAAAAAAACAACAATTTGCTGTTTATCAGTAACTTGCAGTTGATAATTTCACCTATCATGAAGAAAGATTTTTGTAGATACATTTCAATGTTTCGTAGGAATAAATCTACCACCATCTACAGAATGGTAAAATCTGCTTGATTTTCAAATTCTTCGACAAATCCCAAACAAGATTTGACCATTCAAACCAAATTATTTTTTATTCATCGTCCATTCATTCTTCTGGCAAAGTTGTCAATTACCATGAAGGCTCATTTCGAATGTTTCAAGTCTCATCTGAGTAGGAGGTCTCACTTTGTACATGGAAGTCATTTTTGGTTGAATTTTACGAGTTTCAACTTCCATTGTCTGATATGATTCAAATATGATTTTAAATCTCTGAAAGAACAAATTAGACAACACATATGAAGCTTCTTCGAACTTCCTCTTAAACCAGTGTTCCTGCCTGTGGATGATCTCAGATTGAGACCACTTGATGTTATGTTGATGAGTCCAAACATGCTCTGCTATCCCCGATTTGCTGGTTTCTACTCGCTGTGTGTTTCTCTTGTGCTCGTCAATGCGGACTTTCAATGCGGCAATACAGGATTTGCCACAGTCACAGGGTATCCGGTAAATGCAATCCTTGGAATCGCAGTCCGTGTTTGGTGACCTGATTTCCAGGACTGGCTCACTCCAATATACGTCTAAGAATGACTTTACCCTTATGTGTAAAAACGTTGGGAAGAGAGTGTTTCGAATTTCCGTTACAATATATTCATTATTTCGAAATTGTGTTTGCAGTGATTTCATGAGAGACCACCTGAGGGGCTTTTTAAGCATTGATTTTGATCTTGACTAGCACTACTAGTGCTAGAACACTTGAGAATGGTGTAAAAACCGAAACCTTGGTCGTATTAATATCAATACATTAAGTAAGTGGAAATTAGACAAAGTATTTTATTCCTATACCTAACTGACTTCTGAGGGTTGCTCGCAGAGCAGTATCTGGTTATCAGTTGAACGATATTTTATGAACGAACGAAAAACCGAAGATTACAATAACATTGGGTTTGATAAGTATCATATACTTGAAATAATTGAAATTTTGAAAACTTCTACTCACAAACGTTTTCAAACGTTATTTTCGACACAAAACATCTATCGGTTATGATTTCTTTTCATTTATATAAATCAATAGTGAATATTCCAAAGCCTCCGAAGGAACATAGAAAGTTTCAGTACCCACCTCCATCATCATTCGATTTCTTCTGATTGTCACCCACTAAAGACCCCAATCCTTGCAGAAGCTGACCAGCATTCGCTTTTCCAACATTAGAAAGCACATCACCGATCAAATTAGCGCCTTCGCCTTCCAGAAAATTCTGGAACATCGCTCCGAGATTTTCAACGTTCTGTTTTTTCAACACTTCCGATACTGCGTCTGCGTACGGATTGGACTCATCTTCCTTGATTTTGTTGTTTTTTGTGTCCTGCAACGACTGGCCAATGCAGTTCACGATGACTAGAACGAGAAAGAATTTGCTGGCCATTTGGTACCTGAAAAATCAAGAAAAATTAGGACAAGAGCACATCTTTTGAAACGATTGGAATTCTTATAATTGCAAGTGATTACTCTTTGAAAACAAAATTAGTAAACCAGAAAACTAGCGAATGTATAGCATATACAAAGTCAATCCGAACTGCTAAAAGACTAATGGCATTACTCTTTACTACTAAAAGAAAAAAATCCGTGTAGGTATACAGAGTGTTTCAAATTCGATCCTCTCCTATGAGAGATAAGAAGATGGTTAAATTGGGGCAAAGTTGCGCATTTACCTGACTAATAATATGCTGTCGAGAAAGTTATGAAATTCCGGAGATATCCGGAAAAAAACAGAAACTTCGGAAAATGGTTTTTATTTTTTCTGGCTTCATTTTTCGAAGAATTCGAAAATAAATTGCACTTCCATATTGCCACTTTTTCCCTGCTACATAATTGTGTTTTCAGATTTGCTATCCGACGTTCTTCATCAACTTTATTTTTTCTCATGGGAGATACATTGGATTCTTTCTGTTTTGAATAGAACCAGATTCTACCTTTACGATGATGTATCATAAGTTATCATTCTTTTTCGAATGATTGGAGGTATTAAAAAAATATTTCTTCATTTGACTTTCAATTTGCGACACTCAATATTTTGTTATTGTACAAGTCATTGAATTTTTGGCGATAAATTGCTTTCACGAATGAAAAAAAAAGAGATTTGATACAAATTTATTACAAATACAATAGAAACAGTGTAAGGACATCGGAAATGTATTTAAAATTGTATCCTGAAATACGACAACTACATCGTTCACGTATAGTCATTGGGCATACTTGAAGACTGGCTATAAATCAAATCATCTAAGAGAACAATTCGTTCAAGCCAGTCTCAACACTCCACACAGTAGGTTAATGGACTGACACCTATCAGAAAACAACTACTCCCCTGGCTAATACCAAGTTATTGGATCAAAATCTCACCGAGTTTGGTGCGTTTGAAAAGCCAATGAATCAAAATTTGATGAATGAGGTGTGTGTGAGGTAAATTAGACATTGTGTCCTTTTCAATGAAAATAGAACTTTGAACAAATAACAATAATTAACTAAAATGTAAAGACAGAAGTAAATCATAGCAAATGCTCAAAATGCTGACCGTGTTCATTATAAAACAACTGTGCCCTTCTTCGAATAGTATTCACTGTACTTCCTCAATATTTTGATATTCCCTGTACCCCATAAGAAAATATCCATAACACTCAAGTCTGGAGATCTTGCTGGCCACCTCACCGGTCCATTATGCTCTATCCATTTATCACCAAATCTTTCAGTCAAGTATTTAGATACCCGTCTGGTAGTGTGCGGTGGAGCATCATCATGTTGAAACCAGATGTTGGTATAGTTAGCCAAAGGTAGATCATCCAAATAGTCTTGGAAAATCGACATTGAAAACTGGTGATAGGTTTCTCCATTCAGAATTTCGTCAAATGAATGAAGTATTTTAGATTGCAACTGTTGATCTAAGATTGGCCTACAAACCTTTGCTTCTGAAATAATCTACACTAAGAAACTGTCCACGAATTTCCCACTAGTCCAGAATTCGGAAAACTCGCACTCACATAATCACCAACGAACCGCTTGGACTTGGTAGACTTCCCAAGTACTCGTTGTCGCTGACGTGAACGTGGACGCGGAGTAACCACCTGTAACGGTACCTCTGAACGGTGCTGGAACCACACTACCTTCCTCGCGAGCGAGACACCTGACTTACTGGGCTTATTCACCTTATCTAAAGGCGCCCGCCAGTGGCGTACCACGGAGTCGCGGTTGAATTTTATGGATTTTCTTCGTTGGCGTTCGTTTATTGGACGAGCATTATCTATAATGAAGGTACTTGAATTAGGTAACGAAATAGTTGATGGAATTGTTATAAATGATCATTTATCAGTTGAACAAGGTTGTCCACTTTATTTTTCTGTAGAAATAGGATGCCATAGGCGGATTTACATCAGAATTTCGGAGGGGTATTTTCGGAAGCGGGATTAGTTCATATATGAAAGAATGTACGGATATCATCACATGTTAGGATGTTATGAATCACACGTTAAAAGGTAAGACCTCGTTAGTCCTTAACTCGCACAAGTTTTTCAACTTCTGAGAGTTGTCGTTCGTATGGGAACGGCAGCTGATTAACGGAAAAACAGATTTTAAACAGATTTTTTTTATTAAGAGGTATAGTTCAGGTAAACTATATTGTGCAACCTACATTCTAACAGCTCCCCTTCAATAACATAGTTAGAGAGCTAACTAATTACTTTTCATAATACTACTTACTCACATTCACTATTCACTATCACTGTCGTCATTTAAATCAATAATGAATTCTTTTCCACCATTAATGTGGAAGTGTTCAATCCCCATATAAATAGTCTTTTTCAACAACTGCCAGTCTTCTTCGGTAATATGCAATTCTTCTTCAATTAGCTCTAATACCTTCTTATCAAAATTTGGAAAAATACTTTTACGCCTGATGGTTTGTTTCAATTTTCCTCAAATCAACTCGATGGGATGGAAAACATAAAAATAGGGGAGAAGTCTCAGTATGGTGTGTCCATACCTTTCAGCAATACTCTCAAGGGCATACACTTTTTCAAATGTTTTTGTCTGTAAAACTTCAAGTAGTTGGGTTTTAGTATAGTAATCTTCAAAATACAAATTGTTATCCATTTAAAAACTCTGTATTCCATCTTTCCTCGAATGTTTATTCGCATCCAAATTTGGGATCAATGTGCTATCAAATCATTCCTCGAAAATATTAGCTTACATGTTGTTATGATGGTCAACGTTACAGTACTCAAGTTTTTTTCACATAATTTCTGAAAATTTGGAACCCATCGTTTACTTCTTCCGCAATGATTAGTAGCGATCCTTCATTTGCAGGCATGTTAAGCGTACACATTCTCGAACCATCAGTTTACCCTTTCGTAACTATGTCGTGAGTGTCATACAAAGTTTCGTCCAAATAGAAAATTTGCCGTTGTTCTTGTCTGTATTTAGTTATTTGTTCTAAATATTTGTTACGCAATTCCACTATTCTTCTGCTTTCCATAACTGTGTGACATTTGTTTATTATTTTAAATCTAAATCTTAGTTTCTTTATCCAATTCTGAAGAGTTTTGTCACAGCACCTCACGTTATGGCCGGAAGTTTTCAATTTCTTCCTTATGATTTCAGTTGTAGGAATTTCATTGTTATTGTAACAGTCCCATATTGTTTTTTTCAATGATTTCATTAGATGAACATCTTAAGGTTTTGGTAATTCCGTATCACATCGCGTCTTACGTTCATAAGGTTTGTTTTTGACTATTTTAATGTACAGCTGAGAAACGAATTTCGGTCAAATCTGATGTTTGCTTGTAATAGTTTGTTTTCCTCAAAACCAAACTTGAGATGTAAATTTTTATATACATTGAAACACACACACACCGTGTTTCAATATTCAAATACATCCGAATCTTATTCACTGGTATCTCTCTTTCGCATTGTTCACTATCGCTATTGGAATCACTATTCTGGAAAAAGTCTACGTTGTTATTACACTCATTATTACTATTAGTATTTCTTCAAGGACGACACATTTCAAATAAATAACAAACATTTTAAGTAATTATAACTGCAGCCCATCATAAAACTCGGTTAACTGCCTCTGTCATCTGCCTGCATTTAAGACAATGGAAATCTGAAACTGCAGCATTAAAACCCCATGAAGAATTATATTGCGGCGCTACTGACTACCCAAATTCGATTCATATTCTTCGAATTCTTTGAAACTTTGAGTCCACCTAACAATGTGGTGACTGAGTTGATAAATAATGTATCTGTTTACTTGTAAATAGCTGTTGGAGCATGAATATAGCTGATTTCCTTTCAAAGAAAATTACCAATGATGGTCTCAATAAAACTACTTGAAAATGTACATCGCTGAGTCCTTGATACCTACAAAAGTTCGAAGATATCTAATTGGAGATAGGCCATATCTTACAACGAATAGGTAGTTTTCATAATTAAAATTTATATCAATACGCCTCATTTGAATATTTCATATTTCAGCTATACTTATACGCCATTATCAATGTTATCATTGTTTAACATTGAACAGTATGTTGTACGAGTATGCATTTCATTATATAATGGATAACATAAAAAAGTCACAACAATTTTGATATATCATCAGTAGACAGACTTTCTTTGTTATTTCCCATTTTTCCGGATGATATTCTTCTCAACTGCAACTCCGAAAACTCATCTCAGTTTGCTGCCCCCCAGGTCCCAGGCAAACCGATTTGTATCAGTAACCTTTGTATATATTACCCAGCTGATTTGAAAAAGAAAAACAGGTCCGGCTCTAGACCTTTTTGGCACGGTAGTTTTTGAAATATGTCACTGTATTAGAAAGTGCACAAGCATATGTTTCAAGTTTGAAGACGCTGCGTTGTTTGATATTTGTTTGGCAGCCATCAATAGTGAACGTTTCCGGTGAATTTGTGAAAATTGAGAAGATTGATCATCGTTATGTGATTCAATACTTTTTTTTTGAAAGGCCTCAGCCCAACAAATATAAAAACTGAACTGGATTCTATTCTGGGCGAGTCTGCTCCTTTACAAAAGTAAAATACTGGGTAGCAGAGTTTGAACGAGTGGTCGACCTAAAGAGTTGCCGACTCCAAAAACGGTGAAAAAAATCTACAAAAAGGTACTGAAGGATCGTTGACAGAAAGTACGCAAGCTATCAAACTGAGTAGACATTTCAAAAAGTATATTGGCTGAAAATTTGGACATGAGAAAGCTATTTACAAGATGGGTGCCGCGTTTGCTCACGCTCGATCAAAAACAGTGTCGTGAAGATGTTTCAACTGAGTGTTTAGCGAAGTTTTACATCAACAAAGCAGAATTCTTGCGTCGTTTCATAACCTTGGAAGGAACATGAGTCTGTTATTTTACACCCTAGACAAAAGAATAATCGACACAGTGAACTCAAAAGGTAGAACCGGCTTCAAAGAAGACGAAGATCGTTTCATCTGCAGGCAAGGTCACGGCATCGGTTTTTTGGGATGCGCGGGGGGTAATTTCCAATGACTATCTTAAAAAACTTGCGAACTTATTGCAACGTGAAGAAATCAAGCAAAAACGGCCGCGTTTGGTTTTGAGAAGCAAGACAGTTTCTATTATGAAAGCGGTATCGATCTTATTGAACGTCGCTGGGAAAAGTTTATAGCGCTGCAAGGAGATTATAATAAAAAATAAATACATTTTCTTCCAAAAGTTTTGTGTTTTCTTTGTCTGGCTGGGTACTTCTGGGACCAACCTCGTATGCATATTCCAACACAAAAATAAACCTCAAAGTTGAATTATATTTATTCAAGAACCTACTACAAATTTTATAAAATTCTGAGTGGAAAACATATTTTCGTTCGAACACGTTATGTAAATGAGATTTCACTATTAAAACTAGCTCGTCACCCACAAGAAATCCTTTCTGTGGAACATTTTCACGGACCTTCTTCTAGAAGACTATTTTTTCTTGATACTTTTGCAGACCCACTCCATCCCCTCTCGCACGCCTATGCCCTGGGACGCTGTGCACGCCTGGATTTGCCAGGCTCGGTCTTTGATGGTGGGCAACCCCAAAGTTTTTGCCAACTCGGCGGCGGACAAAGAATCGGGAAGATCTTGTTTGTTGGCGTACACCAGAAGCGGTACGTTTCGCAGTTTATCGTCACTGAGTAGTTCGTAGAGTTCTATTCCTGTTTCTTCGAGTCGTTTCCTGTCCGCGCAGTCTACGACGTAAATCTGGAATGAGGAATTTGGATTCAACAAAACATATATACGAGGGCGATCTGAAAAGTTTCCGATCTCAAAATAAAGATAGCTTCACTCGTGAATAAAAGCAAGTAAATTTCGTTGTTCATCTGTTGACAGTTACTCAGCAGCAGCACTGTTTACACGCTACGATAAATTGTAACGATTTCTTATCAAATGTCATCCGCACCAGCCCTAGATTTGTTCGAGCTCTTAACTTTCAAAAGTTCTTTCTTATAAACCGTTCGCAACGCGTTTATTTTTTTTACGACAGTGTTCTTATCTGCAGACGGATCAAACTCCTTGAACTTTTTAACTAGCTCAATATAAGCTAGGTCTTTTTTGTTCATGTCGGAGTATTCTTTGCTCTTAACGAGCTACAATCTCCCGTTTAAAACACAATCTGATCGTTACGATAAATTGTTACAACTTATCGTTGCGTGTAAAGCCCCCTTTAGACCAAAAACATGTTCGAGCGAACATTTCCAACACTCTATTGGCGTAGTTGAGGCGTAATAAATCCGAGTTTTGGCGCTGATTAATTAGTGTAGATACACTTATACGCTCAAAACAAAAATACTGTCCAAACAGTGGACTGTAAAGGGGGAACCAGCTCCAAAAAAGCAAAAACTGGGAAAGTGATGGCGACTGTTTCTCGGACAGTCATAGAGTTACTTCAATCAATTTTCTTGAAAAGGAAAAAACCATTACAGGAGTAGAACTTGAGGAAAAACGGCCACATTTGCAGAAAAAGAAAATCCTGTTCCATTAAGACAACGAACCATATCACACCTCAGCGGCTGCCTTGACAAAAATCCACGAATTACGGTTTGAACTGCTTGATCATCCGCCCTCATCACCAGATATAGCCCCAAGCGACTTTTTTTGTTCCCTCATCTGAAAATTGCGCTTAAAGGACAGAGATGTTCGTCAAATGAAGAGGCAAATGCCTTCGTGAACGATTATTTTGCAGAGAAAAACAGTGATGGCAGGATCGCTGTTAGAAGTGTGTAGAGTTGAAAGGAGATTATGTTGAATAGTGAAAATTAAAAAAATCTGAAAACATGTCACATCTTTGTTAGTGCACTTGTACAGTGTGAACGTAAAAAATCCCCCGACAAAATTTTGAATACGCCGAAAAAGCAATACCACTGGCTCTGAGTTATTTTTGCGAATAGGCGTGCAAATTGTGGGATATCATCCAGTACTGTTAAAAACATTTTGAAAAACATACATTTCATCCCTACAAATGGATCCGGATGAAATATTACAGTTTTGTGAAGCCTAAATCACCTGCCATGAAACCCTCAGATGTTTGTGTGATTCACATTTAATTTTACCTAACCGCAGTCCAATCCAGAAGTCATGGATAGAAAAAAAGGCGCCTACAACGTAATTACTTCAGAAACGCTCCATAACATAAGAAATTATTTCGCGAATAAACTTCATTGTCAGAAAAAAATGGTGAAATTTTTCATTGAAACTATATTTATCGTTTGATTTTACTTCCAAAAATAAATCACTAGGTATTGGTAAGAAAATAAAATGAGGTAAAACAAAACCTCTTTTCTATTTACGTCTTTCCTATTTTGAGAAAAATTTACTTCTTTTATTTACCAGAATATCTGTATTTTCAAAGTAATTCTTCCAGTACGGCCGAATTTTCCTCTGCCCTCCAATGTCCCACACGTTTAGTTTGAATCCTTCCGAAATCACAGATTTGATATTGAATCCTGCTGTTGGAGTTATATTCGTTACGTCTTCGGATGCCAAAATTTTAAGGATTGTTGTCTTTCCAGCATTGTCCAAACCGAGAAGTAACAGCCTGAGTTCTCTATCTGGAGCTGCGCGCAGTTTTCTCAAAATGGACAGCAGACCCTGAAACATATTCGTGTAATATTCTGTAGAGAAAACACGTGCTTCTTCGATAACGCTACACCTTTTAAAAAATTCGAGAATTCAAATCGTCTGAATTACCATATAAGTCTACATATCTGAAAAGATTATATAACAAAGCCAAATGACGGAACATCAATAAATCTTTCAATACTAATGTTTTGTAGGTTCATCAACTCTTACTCTCTAGTCGAAGAGCTGAACAGGCAAAATGTGATATATGCTTGCAGTGATCTTCCTGCCTTTTCTTGAAAAGTCAAGTTTCCTATGGAATATGAAACGAATTTTTGGTTGACAAGTGACATACTTTTACATCTTCGAATCTGTTCCAAGTGGAGGTGAAAATTACAAACGAACAAACTATTTATTTTCTGTCAGTTTGAACTTTTGAAGGTCATTTCCTTCGCTGTCATGGAAACGGTGACATTTATAATTTATAAACAAACCCTGAGAAATCGAATTTTTCATAGTTATTAGTATTTAATTGCTGTAAAATTTATTTCATTCGAGTCACACTGATTACCTACTTTAAGTTTCTACTCACCATGCTAATCCCTGTATTTCCCGAGTCAGTGAATTGAAAACGATTTTGGACGTTTCCAGGTAAGAACGGTCTTTTGTCACACTCACAATGTCAACAGAAAATACAAATAATCAATAATGAAAGTTTACTGTAAGGGTTTCAATTTGTACGGACAATTAAATCAACCGGAACCCGTAGTGGAGGAGTTCAAGCAATGTTTCGATTTTGAGGTTATAAAACGGGTTTGTATCAACCATTCTTATACTGTGATTCTCACCGGGGATCAGGGTATTGTTTTACAACAGAAAGATAAAATTCATTTGAAATCTACAAGTGAAATAATTCTGGTTACTTCTAATGATGACAGGGTTGTGTTGTTGGACAAAGTTGGTAATCTACTGAAAGCCGAACTGTCAGATTTCAGCCTGATTTGTGAAATTCCCAATAGTTTTTTCTCTGAGAAAATTATAAATGTCAGTTGCGGATCCAAGTTGACAGTAGCATATTCCATTGGAGGGTTCATATATAATGTTCCACAAAAACTCGATTTCTGTAATACAAGTATTGTAGATGTTACTTGCGGCAGGGAGCATTGCTTATTACTGGATGAATTCGGGAATGTCTACTCCTTTGGAAGAGGAAGGTAAAAACCATAAGGTCCAAAAGTTACCTAATTTCTCTATTTAACCTATTTTGCATAAAGAATAAAAGCCAGTTTTATAGAGAAATATAACTTGAACGATTATTTCATGACATTCTAGAGCAACATCAAATCACAAAGATATTCTATACCTGAAACATGCCTGACAGTTTGTCGGGCATGTTAATTCTTAATCAACATCCGAAAAACTATCTTCGTGTCTTTATAGTCGTGGGCAGCTTGGCCATGGGAAATTAGATGACGAGCCGGAACCTGTCCAAGTAGAAGGCCTAGCTGGTATAAAAATCACACAAATATCTACTGGGGGTTGGCACTCTTGCGCTATTAGCAAAGATGGAGACTTGTACGTTTGGGGATGGAATGGGAATGGTCAACTGGGGCTTGCGGAAGGAGAGGAAGATACAAAATCCGTGTCTGTTATGGCAACGCCCCATGTTGTGGATGTTGGGGAGGCTTCAAGAAACGTCGTGAATGTTGCTTGTGGAAGTCGTCATACCATTGCTATGTTGGGTAAGAATTTTTCAATCAGAACCATTTAATGTTTATTTATAGCTTATACGATGTCAATTCGAACAGCTAAGTGCCGGGTCTGATAAATTTACTAGTTGATACCATTTAAACCTCCCACATCAAAAAAATAATGATTAGGCCTCGTATATATACCACGCCGCCCATGCCACACAAAACTGCCGACGTTCGGTAACTATATTTTGTTTTTATGCCATTCGAAGTGACTTCACATAAACTATACACATATTCATACAATATAATAAACCAAAATGATATCAGGCAAATGAACCATAGACTCTATAAGTGAGTAGTAATAGTTTTTTTGCTTTTTCAGACAACCAACACCTGTATGGATCCGGATGGAACAAATATAAACAACTGAAAAATGATGAAAAGGAAAACTATTCAGCTTTCACTTACTTGCATGACTTCACTGATAGTGATGTTCTTGATATTGTTTGCGGTCCGTGGAATTCCGCCGTTATATGCAACTGAATGCCTGTCTTTCCTCGAAGACTTTTGTGTTAACCACTGTTTACCACTCAGATCAATCGCTACTGATAACTTTCATGGCGGTGAATTCAATTACGTTTTGAGAAGCGATCTATTACATGCCGTGAAGTAAATCAATAGTAACTATCTATTTTTTATGTATTACTAGTGGTAGACATGCGATGTGTTTGTGTTCTTCATGAGCGACTTTTTAATAATAATTGTATACTATCTTGATGGAATTATTTATTCAAGCCCTATAATTGACTCGTACCGCTTTTAATGATTGATTGTCGGTAGAAGAGGCAATTGTATATTGTTGGAATGAGTGGATTTCATGTGAGAAATTAGTTGAAGTATCATTCAAGCTAGATTTGTTACTAGATTCATAGTGTTTGATTTATTATACAGTTGTGAAACACAAGGTTTTTGTAATTGGGCAATATTTTCAAGAAGCAACTTAGAACTCTGTCTCACGAACTAACCACACCTGAAGTTTTTCAAGAAATCCTAATTCAAGACCTGCCTCTTCGCAAATTTGGTACCCCCTTCATTCAGCTCATAATATCAGCATTAATTAACTATTGGTAACTTGCAAATCTTATTTTGAATAATAAACATATAACCATAGATTTGTTCATGTCCTCATCTTATCTTTTTTATTTTTTTGTCTTTTGGAACAGTGAATTAATGAGTAAATTTAGAATTGTATGTGGCGACATCTAGTTGTTAGAAGATTAAACAATTGTGCAACTGCTACTTCCAGTCCTTTTGTCTGCAAAATCAAAGAATACAAAGCTCATAGAAGATAGTGTATATACGAAATTTGTATATAGACTAAAGGATAGTCTATATAGAAGCTTTGTATAGAGACCAGAGGCTCATAAGTATGATTTTGGTGGTGTATTCTGAAATTTATAGTACCTACCCTCACCACCAGAGGATAATGGCAGAGTTATTGGTAGACTTCAGTTTTTTGAACTACGTTCGTGAAATAATCAGATTTTCAAGGTTTTCGTCTTGTGTCGTTTATTGCGACATCTATTAGCTATTAGGTAGTTCTTAAAAACAATTATAGGTAACTGTTTTTTGGAAGTGAATTGTCGAGCGACACCTAGGTTTTACACTCAGAACTTACATTGAGTTTCAGACTTCAAAACCTGTATCTTAGTATTATATACAAAGCCTGTATTCAGGAACATTTGAACGATAATTAATTTATTTACAAAGTATAAATGTCACCTCTTCATCATGACTAGTAAAATCAAATGATATTTAGAACGCCATTGTATTACCTGTGTTCAGGAAAATTACCTGAAAATCAATTAACAAAATATGCTTCAATATTGAACATTTCAAATCCCAAATTTTTCACTCCGTACTAACTTACCACCTTGAGATGTGACATTTCGGGCGTTGTCTAAACATCAATAGACAATGATTTGGGCATTGTCTAATATTTAGACATTGATTTGGGTACCTCAAGTAGTTCCTTTTGACGGGAAGTTACAATTTACAATTAATAACATTCAACTCCAAGTGAGAGATGGCGACACACTTTCGCTAAATTGACGTAAGAAACTACCAAATAATTTACAGAAGCAGCGTCTACATTCAATATTGTAACATCGTTTTCCTCATTGATAATCCTGGCTATATTTACTATTACTTTGAATATTCTTTCTAAATTTTTTCAAAGACAAAACATAAGCACTACAGGCAAATCCTTCAGGCGCTCTAAGAGCGGTGCCTGTGCGAAAGTAGCGATTGGATTTTCACCCCAATTCAAAATCACCCCTAGATCCTCATTAAGATATGCAACGTCCTGCTGCTGGTGAAGAGGTGCATCTGCAACATATGTTCTGGAATCTAAATGGAATGACAAGTGTCCCATTCATTTATTCAATTATTAATTTTCAGTTTTCNGCACCTTGTGTCAGGAACCTCTATACCCATCACGCGACTGCGGTAGACTAAGGTGTTGAAGACACCATCCTGGCAAGCCATGATGAACCCCTCAGTTTCCGACTTCAGCCCACTCGACCTGAGAAAAGCGAACGTCAGGCGCTTTGATAAGCCAAGGTCTTCAATATTATTGAAGAAGACCCCATGCATTGGCTTATCCCTGTGTCTCCGCAGAAGTAAGGTGAACGCTATTATTATTATAATATCAGAAATACTGGACGGACTGTGGCTGTTCATCGGTTTGAGGTTCAACTCGGTACACCTCAAACTCCACTGTTTAAGAACTCTTTCATCTGGAAAACTGCGTTTTTTGGAATAAACTTGGGGAACGTTTTTCCAAATGGATTTAATCTCCAGGGATTCAAATCCATTGTGAATCGACACTATCGCACAGGCACCAATCTTGTTTTGTCCTTAAAAAAAGCAGATTCTAATTTCCTAGTTCTTTTTTTATCATTTATTGCTTGTTAGTACTGAAGGGTAGTTTTTATATGCTACTGAAGGAAACTAAATTTTAATGTCGAGGAAACGAAATTAGGAGGGGAAATAAAGCACCTGTCAACATTTTCATGTAGTCCACAGTATAATAAATACTGGTATACTTCAGAATTACATTATAAATATACAATGTGTATGGTATTTTTTTGTATTTTTGTGGTTTTAAAATATTTTCTGAAAATAACAATTTCCCACAAAGCAATTGTTCAAACATCTAACTTTATAATAAAACATGATTTACAAGTCACAGATATTTTACGAACAAGAATACGTTGTATTCCGGGAAAAACTTCGGACTCTTTGCCGAACAATACGAGTGAGATGGAATTGTCCAACGTCTTTCCCTTACATATAAAATACAACAATTTGATATAATATATTCACGCTAAAAGGCATTTATAGTCACCATTTTATAATGTGAGACACTTTCCTATTCGAAATTTCTTATAGTTGTCCGAAAAAGATATTCAAATCGTGCTTCTGGAACTTCCGAAAAGGGAGATACGCAGAACTACGTCGTACAGAATGTCTTTCTGGCATGGCAAATAAATTAAAGTAATAAATGGTTCAGAAGAAGCCATACTATACTGTTGAATGCATCAGTAGAAAGGTTTACCTATAGACGACTTCTACCATTTTCGAACAACCATAAATTTCCAGTAGGTTAGAGACACTAAAGTCATTTCAAACTTTCCATGAGATGACTTTCGTGCAGAACTGAAATTTAAACCTAACATATTGTCAAAAAATGGAATATTTAAGTTTCGAAATAAGTCTGCTCAAAAATCTTTCATATAATGGAAAAAATACCGCCGACGCTGAATATACTTGTTGATAATCAACTTCGGTGGTGGGTTTTGATATTTCAGATATGAATTGGTATTTTTTGGTCCCAGTGTAGAATAAAACGTAAGCGATTTTGTCAATGATGGCATATTTTAAAATTTTGGTTGGTTACGAAACCGATTGCAAGTTGAACTGAAAACGATTTCCGTATATTCCCTAAAGTCTGTTTCAGTCTTCGCCGATTTAACGACCGATCACAATTTTCCTAATAAAAAAAAATTCCTACCAATTTTAAACACACGTGTTCTTGATTCAGACTAGACGAATCGAAAATTTTTAAACGCACCAAGGACAGGTACAAAATTCTCAAAATCATAACAAGCGAGAAGACACTTTGGTGTTGAGTGCTTTATATCTTCTACTTAAAGTTTATGCCTATATCAACCTACTAATCTACGATTTATTATTAAATAAACTTTTCTCAATTATTTCAACAATTCAAATTCAAATTAGGCTTCAAAATTCAAGGTCGTAACTGTCAATTATAATTGTTGATTTCGTTATAAACGTTAATTTCTGCCGTCGTTACTTTTTATTGTTGTTTCAACTACATATTATAAGGGAAACAGTTACGAGCGACGTTTTATTTTGAAATGATTTATCAAATTTGAACAAGGAACTTAAAAATATATTGGAAGTTGAGGTAAGGTTATGTTTGCTGTCAGAGATATTGCTGTGTAATCAGTAACATCTCTGACAGCAACCTAGAGTTGAGGTTAGGTTATGTTTTCTCGCCTTGGAAGATAGACAGACGTTGGGCTGTTGTATAATCAGCAATATCTGACCTTCAACTAGAGTTGAGGGTAAAGGTTATGTTTTCTCGTCTTGCAAGATAGACAGAAGTTGGCCTGTTGTGTAATCAGCAATATCTCTGATTTTCAACTAGAGTTGAGGCTAGGTTATGTTTTCTCGTCTTGCAAGATATACATAGGTTGGCCTGTTTTCTTTGGAAAAAGTTGTTATGAAGTCAATATAAACCATGTGTTGTATAGGTATGTAGAACATGATGTATTTTGCTATAGTTGTGGAGAGTAAACTATGGTTCTGTAGAGAAGGCTATCAGATACTACGGATGTTAGATTTCGTTCACTTCCAAATAAATCAATAGCACCTCATTCATTAATCATATCTGAAGAAAAAAATCTTGAAATACACTTGATGCTATGTTGAAAATGTTACTCAATGTGAGTGTTGAGGTATGTATTCGTTTCTACAAATGAAAATGTTCCAGAACAATTTGATAAACCACTTCAAAAGCATCAACTGAAATTTATTTTCATTATTAAAAAATTATAAAAAAGTTTGTTGTAGATAATTTCGTTTTGAAATATGCCACGATATAATCCTGTTTGAACCTGTTTTTTGCTACCACAGTGAAGACAAGCGTAAGTAGAGGGGTTTAAATTTAATCTACTGATACTATTATACTAAGTAAAGTTTCTTAACCTACAACATTAGTTAAGTGCCATCACCTTGTTATTAGTGTCTCATTTACAAAAAACTATATAGTGGGTATTAAACCTAACCTTGTACTGTAAGTGTCAGAGCTTGACATATAGTAACTACTAACTATTAAGTATACACTCTGTATGTCAAAAAATCTACAATATGAAACAGGTGGTCGAAAGTGTCGTTTCCACGAGTGTCATTGGTGTGTGAGCGAGTCAACGAAAAATAGATAAGGCTGAAACTGTGACTGATCCGTCCTACTGTTGTTTACTTTCGTCCAGATATCGAATAAAAAGATATTTGATCAACAAAACTGATGTTTTTCTCCAAAAACGAAATATATTAACGATGATAGCATGCAAAAAAGATATCACTTTCATTTGAATTTTTTTTATTTTATTGATAATTTGGTTTCATATCTCGAAAAACCTTCAAAGAATTGAATGGAAATACTTTTTCAATTGATATTTTTCAGAATGTTCAGAAAAAAATGTGATGCTAAAGAAGTCCATTACTCTATGGAAGGTATCAGGTGCATTTTGAAATCCGAAGGGTAATCACATTAATCGGTAATGGTTTTATGGAGTATTTAGAAAAGGCTTTTTCTATTTCTGAATTTGGAAAACAACGAGTTCATTGTCATGATGTTCATATTTTTTAATCAACATTTTTCAATGAGTCCTGGAGTGGGAATTCTCAGGAGAATCTAGATGCTTCTTTTGTTTATTTGTTGAAAGAATATTTCTACATCGTTTTCAGTTGGTTATTTTTCGGTTCTCGATATGCTTGAACAGCTAAATTGTCCATAAATTCTAGTAATCTATATAGTGACATCAATTAAAGTAAGTGGACTCTAATAGAGAAATCTGTTTTAAAAATCTGTTTTTCTGTTGATCAGCTATTGCTGATGATGATAGTCGTAATTTTAGTACGACTATTTTGAATACTGAACATACAACAAAGGACAATGATTGAGTTCGAATTATAACAAGTGACGTTCAGATTCATGAAAAAAATACTTCTTGATATTCAATACTGGCTTTGTGTGATAGTTCTGTAAGGCTGTGTTGGAAAACGACTGAAATCTGCACCCGAGAAAAATCGTCTAAAAATATCGCAACGTAAAAACATAACACAATCTACATAATACCAACTTCTCACGAAATTTTGCTCTGTCTTCAGTGTGGTTGAATGTGGGGAAATTGTACGTACTATTGTTTATTATGGATGCTGAAAAAAATCTTGTTGAATAAACTAAACCGACTTGCATAGAGGTTTCAACGTTTTGAATTGTCAGCGTTCACACAACATTGAGGTGCGCTGAGAGTTCTATTTACACGATATTAAAGCAAAACTTAATCCATAAATCTTACCGAGCTACAGAACTAAAAATTAATTAACAAATACGTTTGCTATAAAAATCATTATAATTATGTGTACGTAAAAAAATATTTAGGAATAAAAACTATAGAAGTCTTATAGTTGTGAAAAAAAGCTAAACATGGAATGATACTTCTAAATCTAACAAGACCTTGGTCCGTTATTTTCAAACAAAATACTGACACTTTGGGTTGGGGGTGCAAGAAACTATAAGGGCCGGTACAGAATAGTCTATTTTAGTTGAGGGTCTCCTAAGCAATCGCATGCCATATAATTGTTAAACAAATAATACATATACAACAAATAAGAACAGTAGATATATAAATAAAAGAAATCACTTGACAAGCCGTCCTAAAATAAACTACCCTGTGAAAACTCGAAGGCTACAACAATATACAAATTAATATTTTAACATTCAAAATAAAAGTCTGCATTGTATCATATACAAACATTTGATAACAATTTACGAACACAATAGCTTGTTTTCTAATCCAGCGTTGCTTCAGAAGCAAGAGATTTTCAACATTAAAAATATTATTTTACGCGTATACTTGTAAGGTTACTTTTACACTGTTGACTTCAACATTCGTTTGGACCGCATTTATAAAAAAAAGTAAAGAGGCGTTAAAAAAACGTGTCTTTATATAACAAAGTATCACATTAAAATTAATGTAAACGATTCATAAACACTAGGAATTGAAAAATTGCACAGAATCGGTGGCACACTTGCTTATCTGAATTTTCGCGCGAAATTCACAATTTGGTACATGTTACACTAAAGCCGAGACTATTTTTGTTTTCCGCTCAACTCAAAATCACCCTAACCTTGTATAAATTTGAACATAAAAATTTGGCGAGTACAATTCATCAGAGGTATATTGAAAGTGAGGTTACGAATGTATAACAAGTTAGGTTCGCTTTTGAAAGTTGAGCTTATACTGTTGTTGCATTGCAAGCGCAAAAGTGAGACACACAAACATTTAAAACAGTGTTTTTTTTAAAAACCTTAGAACTACAAGAACTAGGAAGCTCGAAGCTTCAAACGTAACATTTTCTTTTCGAAAAAAAGACGCATTCCAATGATCTAGGAGGCCCTTAGGGCCGAGATCACAAATCTGTTAATAATTCATTTGTTTCAACTCTAATTTGTTGCGAATAAAAAATCTGGCACATATATGGTTGGAATGTTTTGTTTTGAGGACGCGGCTGAGTCTCCGGGGCTCGTTTTGATTCTGGCATCAACTAAAACTAGTCACTGTTTGGAACCGTGTTCGATTCAGTGGCGCCCTCAAACGATATGTATGAAAAGCATACCACAATATATACAACATACTGCATTTATTGGTCCAACTTAAATATGTGTTCACTGTAAAATCTGGTTTGGTTTGATGGTTGCCAAATCCCATAAGCGTCAGTTCATGCCAACTTTGGGTACTTATCCAAATAACGAATCAAGTTACAGAACTCGAGGAAACCTAACTTTTATCCAATGGAAACCCCTTCATTTTCAAATGATTCAATGTTAACTCCCTTAGTTTTGAATGAAGAAAATTGTTTGTCGTGTAGATTCACTGCTCGATTACAACATACACATATTTTTTTCCATACTTTGTGATTCTTTTAGTTAACCTATTGAGAAACTCCATTTCCATAGTAGTTATTCCAATTCCCGTAATTGCAGAATTATTTTGGAATCAACGAGACAAATTCCATGGATTGATTTTTTTTTATTATTATCATCAGAATCAGTATTTTATTTCAGCCACAAAAGGTTGCAGCAGATACAATAATCATTTCAAGAGAGAAAAACAGGTCATGTCTCTTTGTAAAGTAGTAGGAGTATTTTGTAACCCAAATGTATCTAGACGAATCGAGAACATCACTAAAAGGGGTCTACAGAAAAAAAATATTTGAAGATTGGTTCAGTACAGTTAAGTTTAATCTCCTCAATTCAAATGTTTTCTATGTTTATCGACTTTACGATTTACTCAAGTGACAGTAATACCTTTTGTGGATCCTCAGAATGAATCAGTGCTCAAAATAAATCATTTAAGATTTTTGTTTCTATGTTAGGCTGATACAAAAGTGATGTAGACCTTCACGACAATCTGAATTGTTAAAGCACAAGAAACTTTCTTAATTGAAATGATTCGTTCACACAGAAAAGATAAGCTGTAGAAATATCGTTAGATTTTCCACTTGTTACCTTGACTCAAAATTTGGGATCATCATTAAAAAAAAGTTAGTATGAAATGACGTTTATAGTTTTGACTACCTTTAACTGTCGGTATCGGTTTGGTTTTGGTTGGTTGTAGTAAGTTATCTGACGGTTGTTGAAGGGGGAATAAAGCATTTTTTAAACTCTACCTGGAGTCAATCTTTTTTCTCTCAAAACAAAATAGCTTCCATTTTCAAATATATAATATATTCAATATATCTTATATACTACTTAATATTGATGTAAATATATATGTATGTATATACCATCTAATTGCACTTCATTGTTATATGACAAAGAAAACAAAAAAATATCACTTGGAAAACTGATGGTTTCAAAGAATTTCCACAATCAATTTTCCAATGGTTCATCAGAATTCAAATATTCATATCAATTAACTATCTCTAATTGTTTAATTTCATATAATAATATTTAAGATATTTTTAGAGAAAATATACATCAAAAATTTTGATTAAATCACAGATAGATATAATTTTTCAATTTTGGGAATATCCCAGGGTTTTCGATATATAATAGTCCGGGGGAAATCCTTGATCTGCGACAATTCTCTCCTATAAACTTGCGGAAAATGTTTTCATTTCAGTTAAGGTAGGTTGAGCCTTTTGAAAATAGTGTAGGTTGCGCAAACTAATAGGTTATTTGTCAACCAAAATTTTGTAAACACTTTCAAAAACTGTATTCGTATGTATTTATGACTTTAAATTTTTAATCAAAACTCGAGAATTAAACATTTTATTCACCTGTTTCAACTTTTGATTGCTTGTCCATCAATCACCCTTTGCGAGGCTTCAGGGGGATTTCACAGTCCAAATGGCATCCTAAAGAATTGAAGAAGTCGATGGATGTTTCTTACTTTTGACTTTAATCTTACTTGAGTTTACTTTTGAAAACTTCTGTTTGATTTTTCTTCAAATAGAGTTGAAGAATAGTTGAACTTTTTTTTAAATACTTTTGAATTTTTTATTTGACCGTTAATAAACGTGTGGCGATTTTGAAAGAAACTGTCACAATAAAGTATCACTTAAATCACTTTGATGGATTTCTATCAGTATATTCCGGCCAGTTCTATGACATATCTAAACATTTTTCTAAGTTCAAATCCCCTCAAAATAAAAGCTAATATCGCTATTGGTATGTGATGGATACTTGATGAAAATCCATAGTGTATGCAAGAGCACTTCATTGTGTGATTTTCACTAAATAGTTTTACAAAAACGCAACACGTGTTTCGCTATACAATAGCTTCTTCAGGCGTGTCTTCACTATTCATAAGTAGTTCATGATGGAATGCCTGAGGTTCGCGAATATAAAAAGATCAGGATTGGAAAAATATTCCAGAAGGATGGCCACCTATATTATATTCCCAAAGTAAGTTTTGAAAGGTTAACCGGCCACTTATCTGAAACGAAATCATCTTTACCAAGAATGTAGGTAGAGGCATGACGTCCAGATCAAAGTCCACCCCCACGTATAACCATTCTTCTTCATCAAAGCAGTTTAAATGCATGTAAACATGAATCGTGTAGTTTTCTATACAGTTTGAGGTATACGCGACGCCGAAGACACATAGAGAATACATTTATGATAAGTAGGTTTCTTTTTGGTACATGCCAAATACATCGAACAGTGAACATTTATCTTTGCGCGGAACGACCAAAATGCGGGAGAGTTTTTGAAAATGTACGTTACAGAAAAACCACCTCCACTGATTGGATAAAAAAACGTTCAACGGAAGAGAGTTTGGACAGTATTGATTATGTTCGTTCAATTATGGAATGCATTAGTAAAAAAAATTAGGAATGAGAGAATGATTTTCCAGATACTAAACTAAGATAATTTTTTGTGGGGAAAAAAAAGGTAAACTTCCAACAAATGTCACAGATCGTTTTCTATTAGATAATTGAAGTTGTTAGTTGTCGACATTTGAAATATATTTTTTGTATATATTTGAAAAAATAAAAATAATTTATAATTTTCGCTACACAATATTTTGTTCGCAATAAAAAAGTTGTGAGAAAAAATTACACAATCAGCAAGCAATTGTGGTGAAAAAATTACGAAAGGAACCATTTTTTTATTATTTAATGAAATGTGTCTGAAAATATGATTGAACAAAAGATTGTTTTTCGAAAAAGTGTTTTTAATAGAAAAAAATATACAACTCATAATATTCCATCAAATATCATATGTTGAATAGTTTTGAAAAATGATTCGTTACTCCAAAAAATGGCATTAGAAATCCCCATTATATAAATTAACTTAAACTTTCTGGTCACACTGTAATCACAACCGGGCAAGAATGACGTTATAACTAAAAAAATGCATACATTTGAGTGTCTTGAAGAACTTAATCAAATAAATATTGGAATCAATTAACGGAGTATAAATTTTGAATCGAAATGGTAATATAATTGAAAACGAAATGAGTACAATGACTGTTACAATTTTGGAATGTCCAACGACCTTGAAATGAAATTTCCAGTGGTTTGGATTCAAAGCTGACCTCACTAGTCGATGGTAGGCAGTTTTTTTGTAATCATCTGATGTATATTATTATTAGAATGATAATAATTGTTGAACCGGCCAGTTCCACGGATAAGCTGTTCAGTAATATACTTTTAGAGTCAAAAAACACCTAATATACAGTTGACTGCTTTGATGCTTACCAAAACACTACGCTAAAAATCAACGAGAAAACGAAAATAAATTATTATTATCAACAAACACCGTCATTTCGAGCTCGATTTTCACTTACAACCACGCGCGTTTCCAACGTGGAAACTTTTGAATTATTTATTATATATAAATATACGCTGATGCGTATAGTACACGTCTTCAGTATAAAATTCTTTCACTTACAAAGGTACAAACGTTTTTTCTTTCCGGTTGATGTCAGTCTTGGGGGCCGTCGTTTTCTGAAGCGCTGCTCTCGTTCAAGCCGTTATGGTCGAGCGCCTCCCGAAAACGCACCAACATCTCGGGCTTCAAGTTTTCTGGCTTGGCCAGGTCCTGGTTCAGGTAAATTCTCGGTTGTTTCCTCTCCGTCTCGTCGGTCGCCTTCCTCTCGCTCGAAGCGTTCGAATCGTTTGAGAGTTCGATGGCGTTGACGTCGGAAACGTCTTTTTCATATCTCGATGACGAATCGTCATCGTTGTTGTCTTCGTGGGACGCTCCTGGAACGAGGTATGGAAGTGATACTTGGGGATATTATGTGAATTGGCATGATATATTTATCTGATAGACCCAGTCGGTATGTAGTATGTAACTAGTTTAGGTTTATCGCAAGGTTCAGACCTTGAATATTAACCGTTCAAATATCATTGACCACGTTTACACGAGCGTATAATAAATATCGTAGTAACATTTGGGGTTCTTAGAGAGCCCAGGCTACAGACAATTTGGTAAGTTTTCCTATTGTGGAGAGTCTTCCTGTCACTACCAAATGAAAGTTGCTCGGTAAGTGCTCTCAGAGCTGCTTGGCTACTCCAGAATATTTTTATTATGTGGGACGTTGGCAATGTCTCCACTCGCAAATCAATGGCGTAGCTTTCTGCTGCAAATACGGTCGCACGGCTCCCTAGGCAGATATCTCTGTTCTAGGTGTGCGACTGTATATACCTGCACCAGAAGGCGGTCTTCTCAAGGTCATTCGAAAAAACATAAAAGACAATATTAACACTATAACACTTACCTGTGGCGAAGTTCAGAGGACTCAAACCTTTAGCGTAAGATTCGTCCCCGGAACTGTTCCCATCCGTTGTCGCTGCGGGCTTCGACAAAGGCGTCAGCCTACTATTCCGACAGAGCTGGTCTAGCAGCGCCTTGTTCGACATATTTTCGGGCGCGAGGTTCTTCTCTTCGTTCGAAGATTTCTCCTCACTCACTGGCACTCCCGACTCTAAACTCGATCGGATGATGCCGTCCAAAAACGACCCATTCGCTCCAGGCCCTTCGAGCAGAGACTCCGCCATCTGGCGGGCGTTTTTGGCGAGTGCAGGCGACGGCACCGCGGACATCGTCCTCGACGATTCCTCCTGCAGCTTCTGCATCATCTGCGACGCGAAGAAGTCCGGGCTGGGTGGAGGAAAAGGCGACGTGGGGTTCCTCGCGTAGTCCAGGGGAAGATGCGCGAAGCCCGGGTGGTGCGGCCAGAACGGAAACGGGGGAGCATTGTAGCCTGCCAAAGGCGTCATTCCCGGCTCGAAGATGGGCAGCTTCATGCCGTTTGGCGACGTCGGCGGGTACTTCTGCTGAGGCGGCTTCATCATCGGCTTCATCTTGTCTTGGGCCAGGCGGATGTCGTTTTGCTTGAGCGTCGCTAGTTTCTCGTCGACCGGGTTCGGTTTGGGATCGCGCTTGCGCGGTCGCATCAAATGTCTCTCTTTTACTTTGTACTCGAGCGTGGAGTGGGGCACGCCGTAGTAGCTGCCCGCCCGATGGACGGACATTTCGCCACGTTGGACCGCGCGGACGGCTTCCACCAAGCTGTCGCGGTCGTAGTTCCTGTATTTTCCTCGTTTGGGGCGGGTTCCTGAAAAAATTTGATTTGAACAAGAATGTTTGTGCATCGTATATGCGTTTCGAGTTCCAGATATGTTTTTGGATTGTGGAAGTTGATCACCTAAAATGGTTATTTACACAAGATCAAAAATGTGATGAGTACATTCGAAGAAACTTAACTGTAGCACACAACATTTTGAAAGTATAGTTCAGTTAAATTGAATTTATGTATGTTCCTATTATTCTTTCTTAGATTAGAATGCCCTCTCTTTCGAACAAAAAACTTATCTTACCTTTTCCACCTGTCGTGGTGGTGGTGTTGTTTAAATGCTGTTGCGGCTTGGGCGGGGGTTGGTACTGCCTGTTCATTTCATGTTGAGTTTTGATGACGGATATGCCCGCCCCCAGGGGAGGCGTAAATCTACCCCTCTTAAAGTCTACTTCTATAATCGGCCTTCTCGGTTCGAGAGACTGTTGGAATTTTTGACTGATGCTTTGAGCTATAACATCCTTAACGTCTTTGATTATCAACCCTTTATTGGGCATGATGGGAGGAGATCCAGATTCGCTGGTTACTGGCGGCGAAATCATACTACCTGCGGAATAATTGGGAGACGATTATGTACTATTCGTGACCCAATACACGAACGGAATAACTAACTTACACATTAGCATATATTCAAGAAAAACTCTGCCATGTTACGGGGGCATTTCGCATACCAAAGGGTATGATGGAATATAAAAAAAAACATAGAAACACCTTTGAATTTTTTCAAAGAGGATGTATAGAAGCTGGACTGACTCACCTGTCGCTTCCACCGGGTTCCTAAAGATATCGCAACCGTTTTTACTCGACGTCGGCCTAAAGGACGGAATTTTCAGTATCACATTCGACGGCGAGTCTTCTGTTTCCATGTCCGACTCGGATTTGGCCCTTTCAATTTTCGTGATGACAGAATTGCTCGGGCTCGGCCTCAACAGCCTCTCGTTGTCGCCGTTGTTGTATTGCTGATGCTGCTGTTTCAATAGTTGTTCTTCGGCTATCATTTTCATCAGTTCCGGAATCATTGGCGTGCCTTCGGGCGATTTTTGATTCGCGAGGATATTCTGTGACGCCATAATGAGATTTTTTATGTACGGCCCCATCTCGCTGGGGTTCATCCCCTCTTTGCCCCGTTGGAGCAGTGTCTTCAAGGCGTCGGGGGGCTGAAACAGACAAAAGTTCGTTATTTTCTTTGCGATTGTATACGTAATCTCATTGGTTGGGTTGGTAAGAATGTTACTGGAACCTACCAACACTACTGATAATTCACAAATCAACTGATCGACTATACAACACTACCAGATTAGCCAAAAGAGATCATTTGTCATCCGCCGAGGTTTACGTGATTCCCTGTTTCTGTTACTTAATTTACATCAGAACTTTCAAATGCAATGTCACTATCAGGATCCAAGAACACAAGCGTTGCTGTTGCCTTATGTATCGAGAGTAATCCACACCAGCAGAAACATACCACGTGTTAACATACGAAAAAACTTCATAGGGAAGTTATTTATATCAATGAACATTCCACGAATTTCAGTAGAGGAGAAAAACGTATGCGCAATATAACTTGGTATCAAGAGGGTCAGAAATGGACAACTCCCATCGATATCCCACCAACATCACACCTATCAACGTGGAGTAATCAGAACCATCTCCACACGTGGGAACCAATCAAGGGTGAGCCTTCTCATGGGCACGCTCTTCTATTATAAACACGAGTGAACACGATGCTCCTCAGTGTGTAATTGCTGAGGCTTTCAAATATTAGCTTCGTCCTCGTAGTCAACGCCTACATTACTGAAGATGTCTGTCGCTGTCTACCAGCCGGGATTTTGTTCTAGTATTGGGAAACTGTGTTATGACACAGGCCACAACAGATTCTTAAGATTATCTGACATCAGAAGACGAAGATGGGGTCACAATAAGGACATGATTACACAATATGGAGATGATTATTGGGTTAGTAAAACGAAACTTTTCTCACCTGTTCTCTTCCTGAAAATCTGTACAGATCCGCCATGGAAAGCAGCGGCGCCTGCAAGGCTTTCTCGACTTCCTTTTCCTCTTCGGCGCCCGACAGCTCCTTGTCATCGTCCATCGCTTCTTCTTCTTCGAGTTTCAGGGGAGCCGAACTGTTGATGTGCGACTCTCTCTCCCTCTCCAGGGCCAGTTTGTACACTTTGTTGCGTAACGTCGATCTGGGGATACCGTAGATGACGGCCGCCCTTCGCGTCCCTAATTTTCCCGATTGGATGTCTCTGAGCGCCGCTTGGAGTTCGTCCTCTGTGTAGGTTCTACGGCCTGCCACTGCGGACATCCTAGGCTTCGCTCTAAAATCAGAACTGGAATTATAGAAACACGTGAGGTGTTGTCCCATAACCTTTTATTCAGATACAATGTGGTAGCGGTACGAATACATGTATTTTGTTAGTAGCAAAATGAAAATTTGGGGTAGAAGTGTACTTTAGATTGAAAAGGTTGCATTAAGAGTGTTTGTGAGGGAAAGGGAATATTTAAGGAGAGATTCGTCTTTGGGAAATGAGCCGGAGAGAAACTAGGAATTGCAATTTTCAACAGTTTAAAAACTTTTATTTAATGAAATTTGTAAATGAAATGAAAGGAACGGTTCAGGAATGCATTTGTATGCAGGAACGCGTATTATTATAATGAAACATATGGCACATTTTTGTGATTTCTCTTCAACAAAGGGATAGCAAAGGTGGTAGCGGCTTGGTGGACCCTTGTCTTCCACCTTCTTGTTGGTGTTTCTCTTTTGGTGAACTGTTGGTGATTTGATTCGTAATTTAGATACCATCCCGCGTGACTTCTGTGTTCTACTTGTTGGTGTTACGTCCAGAAACGGCAATTGATTGTAGATTCCCTTCTCTACTGTGAATGTTATGGAATAATTCAACGTATTGAGTAGTTCCCTACACAGCATCATCAGTATTTCATTTGAAAAATGAATTATTGAGCCCTCCTTCATTCCAGATTCACAGATCCAGTAAAAATTCTCCAATACTAGTGGTAGAGAGAAGTTGAAATGTTTGTCAAACGACACAATGGCTGGTATAAGGTATTTACATCTGTCCTTTGTCGAAACGAATTTCTATTCGGCATTTTCTTCATTTCGCGAAGGTCTCCGATTCTGCAACGCGCAAATCATTTCTGGCATTCGACGTAATGGCGTTGCTCGATTCGAAATGAAAATTATATATTGATGAGATGCGAGATGTAATTATTTTAGTCAATGTGCGAAATTGCCGGTTAGGAATTAGTGTCAATGCATTTCTCATAGAGGCGAAACCGAAGTGGGACAAGGGCAGAATTGCATTATTTGTGCATACGGCGGTGCACGTTTAATAGTCCAGTCAATCAGGTGCAGTTTCATAACGTTTGAGTTTGCCTTCTCCTAAAATTGAGGTGTCATTTTGATTTATAATTTCACGCAGAGTAGACTAAGAGCAAGTATTTCAAGTCATGAAAATTTTTGAACAATGGATGATTAATATCAAAGCAGCGAGAAATGGAGGTTCTGGCAAGCCAAATTCGCACTCGCTGCAAGTTTTCCACCAGAAAACATATTTCAGTTTGTTTGAAACCTAAGCTGATTTACAGTAGATATGTTATTAAATATTGAAACAAAATCCCAGACATTTTAACTTGTTTAAAATTGAGGACTACTCCAAACTTGTATGGAAAAAAGCCGATAAACTATTTATTGAAGATATTCGAAGATATAAATAACAAGCTACTCAAAAATAAATATTGTTTTCAGTAACAGAGTACGTCTAACAAACTTCATGGGTAGATGTAGGAACGAGTGAGACAAACCACGCGACTTGCTTGCATGCGTTTGCGGATGAATCATTTTGTATTATTTGGGAGGACAATTTAGTCCAGCAATATATTCGTGGCTCAGCATACCACACTGATGATACCTATGGCGGGTCAAAACATTCCTAGCGGTGTTGGAGCGCGTTTGTGTTTTTTGGGTTCTGTTTTTGTACATCTG